ACTGCTACTACGGCTACTGCCACTACCACTACTGCCACCACTTCTGCTACCGCCACCACCTCCGCTCCTCCTGCTCTAGATATCTTTGGTGGTAATTTTGTTTTTAACTCTTGGATTCTGGTGGATTGATCTTTCAGGAGTACAGAACAAACAAATCGTTGTTGCATGCATGCTGTGTGCTGGGCTTTCAAACCAGAGAGCCTATTAACTCTAAATACGATGTGCAAAACTTAAAAGTTCTGCTTTCAGTCCTGCCTTTCAAAAATGATTTAAAGGCATCTTATGTTCTTGGCCTTAGATTTATTTGAATCTGTTCCTGATGTACCTGCAGCACCTAAACCAGAAACTACTCCTAGCATAGATCTCTTTGGTACAGGTAAAGAGAGAACTCTTCCAATACTCTGCTGCTTTGATGCTGTGTAATGGTGTAAACTGACTTGAATGATATTTACTTCTCCTTTGGTTTTTCTTTCATTTCTGGAAGATGCTTTTTCATCTCCGCCGCATGGAGCTTCTCCTGTGCCTGAGAGTTCTCTCACTGCTGATCTCTTATCGGGTGAGTGCTTGTCTTCACAGGCCATCCTACAGACTTAGGTTTGTGTTTGTTTGGGTTTTTTTATCAAGAGTAAAAAAAAATAAGACTTATTGCCAATTTACATCTTTAAGCTGAAATACTAAGTTGTGGGTTTGTTGACACTTTGGTCACAAGATTAGCAGCTGCTAAAGATGCAAACCGTGAAGTAGCTGACACTGAAGTTAAGTAACGTGGTTGTTGAGAGAGTAAATCCTCCTCTAAGCATAAGAAAATTCTTAATAAACAATGCTTTCTTTAAAGTACTGTGGTTTTCAGTTGCTGTGTGAGAAATGTAACACTTTCTGTTTGCAGTTCTGAAGACTGTTACCTGAATTTACCATAACCTTGTGGTTCTAACTGGTGGAGCCCATGTGGCTTTGAAATATTTAGCTATCATTGTTGCCTTGCTGATACTAAATATTATTTATCCTATGCTTACTGCAGTGGATGCATTTGCAGCCCCCTCTCCTCTACCCACTGCCTCTCCAGCAAAGGTGGATTCTTCAGGTGTGATTGACCTATTTGGTGGTGGGTATTTTTCTTTCCTCACCACTTCAGAGTTGAATCACTTCATTTTAATTACCTTTGCGCTTGGCTAAAGCTGCAGTTTCCCCTTTTCACAGCTTTTCTATGTAGCATCTAATACTAGCCCATCTAGTTCTTCTTACTGCACAATAACGAACTGCAAATAAGCTGTCAGTGTGGTCATTCTGTTGTCATGACATTGCCATTCTGTCTTCAGTTAATGCATGTATGGCTTTTCCTCAGAGGTCCAATGAAAGTTTGTTGTATTCTTTTTTCTTTGCAACTCTCTATGGTCACGTTGTTTTCTCTCAGTTCCGTTTCTCAAAGCAGCTGAAGTTTTGAGGGTGACTTGTCTCCAGCTGGATATCTGAATCACAGGATCTTTGTTGGATGGAAATTAGGATGGGCACAAACAGCTCTAGGAGTGTTGTAGAACAGGAATGTTGCTTAGAAGTAGTGAATTTTCAAACATTAGTGAAATATTCCTCTAAAAAGACATAATGTGAGTCAGTAGGTTCTGGCTGGAATTACTTCAGTCTCTCATCCGATGCATTCATCTCTAAAGGGCTTCACCCTCTTGTCTAGAATGCTGTGGTTTGTATGGGTTATCTGAGAAGACACAACTAAAAGAAAAGAGGTTTCTTTCAAGTGCTGGTTTGTTGCACCTCCTTTTTTCCACCTGAGCTTTGCGGCCATAGTACTGCTCTGCAATAAAGATGGCCAAGCACTTTCATTTTCTTCTGATGAATGAAGTGGTTATCCTTTTGTCATCTTTTGTTTATGATAAGTGATGAATTGATGCATTTAATATTGAGCTCTTTACCTTTTCTTGATGCTTTCTGGAATTCCCTTTAGATGCTTTTGGAAGTAGTGCTTCTGAACCCCAGCCCGCAACCCAGGCTGCTTCTAGTTCCTCAGCTTCTGCAGACCTACTTGCTGGTAATAAAGAACTTCTAAAAACTTGTTATTTTAAGGCAAAACTAAGAAATGGTCTTTGAAATCTTTTGTGTTCCTTGGGTGTAAGTGGACTTTTGCAGTGGAATGAAATTCTTGTTCACAAGATTTCTTAGTACTTTAGACATCTTAAATTTAAACTACAGTGATTTATAATGGAGGCACTATACTGAAATACAAGTTAACTTCCTAGATTATCTTCTTCTCATGCTCTTCGTTTTCCTACCTCCTGCACAAGCCTTATTTTTCTGTACTGTTCACTGAATAAGAGTGTGTACATAAAGTTTCTTTGGCTGACTGTAGCCAGTCAAGCAGTATTGCAGGCTACGCTACTTACTCCTTACTGCTAATTCATCTTTGTTTCTTGGTTGATTTAGTTGAGGCAGATTACACACTTAAATGTTAAGAGCTTGAATGAATGGCTTGGTAGTAGTCTTGCATTTAGCCAAGAAGAGTGGGGCGATGAGAGAGCACTTCTCTGAGCACAAGGGCATAGAAGTGATAGAGACCCTCTCCTTATATTGGGTGGGATGAGGTCTCTGCTAATGCTGCATGCGACATCACTATCACACCTATTTCAAAGGTTGAATAACTGTACTGTTGTAGTCTGCATCCTGCAGGTAAGCAGCGTCAGCTGAATTCTGCACCATTCTCTAAAATCTGTGCTATACCATGTATAGTGGCTATAGTGATTGTGCTAAACAGGTGTGACTCCCCCCATCCCAGTTTGAAGTTTGTAGAGAACAAGATCCCAGCGTGTCTTCCTCACTTTTAAAGGAAACTAATGCACTTCTGGTTTGAGGAAGACTTGGCTTAGTTTCCGAAAGGTGAATTTGTAGTAGAATTGGTTGGTAGGTTATCCTTCATGAACTTCAATGATGATTGTTAGCTTCATGTTGTACCTTTGTGACTTTACTTCTGAGCTGGAGTGATAGTCTGCCCTTTATGCAACTGCTAACCACTCTAGGTATGGTGGGCCCTGATGTCAGTTGCTGTCTGTATGTCTGCAGGTCTCTCATGCCAACTTACACTGTATCAGAAGTCCAACCCTGTGTATGTTTTGCCTTTATATGCTCGTAAGAGGTCCTCCATTATATGAGGAATACATAATGTAAGTGAGATACGTCAGTATGGAATCTGCTTTAAGTGCTGTGAGTTGATACAAGTGGGTGCTTGCACACTGAAGCCATCTCAGAAGAGGACACATTTTCTAGTACCTGCTCCAAGTGTGGGGGTCGCCTAGTTGTGCTGCAGGAAGGTAGAAGTAGTCTAGATGATAATAACGTATATGTCTGTTCCCAGTCAGTTGGCAAGCCAGCTGCTTAAAGTGGGACATAATGCGTAAATGCATGCTAAAGCTTCAGTACAGGCAGCTTCAGGATTTTAAGGTAGAAGACCACCTTTTGTTTTAATATTTCTTCAATAGGTCTTTATATTAATTAGTCTGGAGATCAGGCTTTAACTAGTAGATTCTGAAACATACCAGTCATTTGCAGTTGTGTGTGTTATCAGCGGACTGGGTGCAAAGACATTGTTGGGCAGAAGCCAATTCTGCTTATGCAAACATTACAATACAAAATATTTTACGTCCTTATCTGTAACTAAGCTTAAATTCCAGTAGGAATTATGCTCCAGATGGCTAAAACTTCAGCAGTGTGCTCTCTGAATCTGATGAGTCACATTAAATCAAAACCTAAATTAAAAAGGGATGTTATAAGTCTAAATACTCAAGCAGACCTAAAGCAGTTGGGGTGAATAGATGATTTTTAAAAAAAAATTTATTTTATTTTTGCTTTGAATATACATTCAAAAGGGCTCCAAGTAGGTTTGAATCTTTTTTTTTTTTGGCAGATACAGAGAGTCTGTAAACATCACAGCATATTGCTAAGCATTTGTTCACCCTAGATAACGGCAGATGTATAGCCTGCAGTGTAATCCAGTTTTAAATTTAAGAGTGTCCAGAATTCATATAGTGGCTGAAGGCTTGTCCATCATGGTTTGAGTGTTTGGTTGTACTAAGTGTTTATATGTATAATGTTATGAGTATACTTACTATGCATCATTGTCTTAAGTGTTCTGCTGTCAAATAAGTTTCTAGTCTCTTCTTGGCTCACTTAGAAAATATGGTGGAATTTTTTTCATACTCTCTAAGCCTCTTCTAAGCAGACAAGACTAGAACTATGCTGCTAAACACAATAGTCTAGCCATTTTCCCTTCTAGATCTTTCTATCCAATTAAACTGTGTGCATGTGTATCCCAGTACGTACTCTAATAGCATGTTCTTATAAGAAATCTTACTTGAGTGTGTAAGTAAAAGCAACCTCAAGATGAGGTGATTGGGGATGTCCATTCAACACATCCAACACAGTTGCTGCTGTTTCTGCAGACTCACTCTGGGTCTTGTGGAAGGCCTAGACAACTAGGAACTTAATCTGTTAAAGCATTTTGATGGCTTCTGTGCCTGATGTTGCTGTTAAATTGTGCAAGGCTAAAAGCTATGGAATTAAGACCGTTCGTCATGCAAACTTCACCTGCAGCTGGGGAGAACGCTTTTCTGTAGCTGGAGAAACAGATACTTTATGGGGCTTTGCAAAAGCTTACAGAACTTTCTAAAGTTATGTAATCTTATAAATGGATATTAAGGCCAAGGAGCTGCCAAGTTCCTTGTTCTCACTCAGGAGATGGAAAGGATCTTTAGATGGCTCAGGGTCTTTAGATGGCTCCAGTGCTTTAGGAATTGCTGCAGTCAGCTGCCATTGTCATCCCTGTATCTTGTCAACCTGCTTCTGGTCTGATTCTTCAGAGGTTAGTACTTGTCTGCAGATAGTTGAATGCATGGAGCTTTGCCTTGGGACAGGTGATGAATGAGGAGAGAATTTATAGGTAAGGATCAGAGGGCAGGCCAGCACTAGTAATGTTATAGTAGGTGTCTGCTATAGACCACCTGATCAAGAAGAAGTAGAGGAAGCCTTTTTTAGGCAGCTGGAGAAAGCCTCACTATCACAGGCTTTGGCACTCATGGGCAACTTTAACCTCCATAGCATGTGCTGGAAGGGCAATATGGCTGGGTGCAGGTAGTTCAGGGGACTTCTGGAATGTATTAGAGAATCTCTTGATGTGGGTGATCAAGACGTACCAGAGTGAGTTCAGTGGAGGGCCACCAAGATGGTGACTGGTGCACATGACGTGAGGAGAGGCTGAGAACTGGGTCCATTCAGCCTTAGAAGAGAAGGCAAAAGGGAGGCCTTACAGGTATCTAAGCTACCTCACTGGAGGATACAGAGAAGACTAGCCAGGTTCTTCTTGGAGGTGCACAGTGACAGGAAAAAAGGCAATATGGGTGGGAAATTCTGGTTAAATACTGGATTTTTTTTATTTTTACCATGAGGATGGTCAGATATGACAAAAGACTGCCCAGAGAGGTAGTGAAATCTCTCCTCTTGGAGGTGTCAAGGCAAATCTCTGGGCAACTGATTTGATTAGACCAGTTTTGAGCAGGGTGTTGGGCTGGCTGACCTCCAGAGGTCCCTTCCAACCTAAATTACCTGTGACAAACCCGCTTCAAGAACAGACCTTGGATACCTGAGGGCAGATCTGTGATCCCGGTGCGTTTGTCCAGATGCAGAGTTAGCATCTGAGAGCATGTGACTTCTTGTGGAGTAGGATTTGGGTGATAAGGGCTTCTTGGTGCCAGAACCCTGAAGTAGGCCTAAGAAACACAGGGAAGCTGACACAGGCTTTTGAAATGCTCTTTACTTTGGACTGCAGAAAGCAGGCTGCTCTGCTTCTCACTCCTGCTTCTCTGGCTCCAGCCAGTGCCCTTGGTTGGTAGCATCTGACGGGACCAGTTTAAGTTACGATCTGAGTGTTTTAGGTTATTGCCTGCAATCTGGCAAGCTTCAGCTGAAGGACGTAATTTATGAGGTGTTTCTAATCAGATTGTGTTTTCCTGAACCTATGGTGCGTGGTCAGGTTTGCTCTCCCAGCTCTCAGGTTTGTCCTCTCCCAGCTGCGTCTGGGGCTGATGTATTTGTTCATATAGGCCAGGCATTCCACAACTAAAGCCTGTCTGCTGGTGGTGCAGCAAATTGCTGGCCTGGTGCCCAGGACCTGGTGATGGCACACCACTCTCATTTCCCTACTGAGGGTTTTGGTTTAAATACAATTAGCTACTGCTAATTTGCTTCTCTTCTAAAATATGCATCTGCCTGATGTGTAAATAAGTCTGATGCTTGCCTTGAGTGTGGGTGTATAAATTTTTCCTGTTCTTTCAACATTTGTTAAGTATTTGGTGTTTAGTCTTTGTTCTCTGAGAAAGCAAAGTTTTTGGGGAGAGTGTCTGAGATCTCACAGTAACATTTGATATAATTGATGCTCACAATTAGAGCACAAGTTCTTTATGTTGAGCTCTAGCCTGTCTTGTAGTTAACTGTCTGGCAGATGCTTGATTTCATAGCTGGGAAATGTGCTGTTGTCACTGTTTGTAAGAAAGATGTCTGTGTAATGCATTGTAACCCTATGACCATGGAAAACAGTTTGGTTAAAAAAGTGGTTAGAAAATCTTCAAAATTTTCTTTTTTTTCCCCATTTTTAAAAAGCTGACTTCCCCAATGAACTGGTAACTAAAGAAAGCTGAAGAAAGAAGAGGAAGAAAGGAATTAGTTGACCTTAAACAAGAGTGGTACAAACTATCTCAGTAAAAAGGCAGAAAGTAGTGATAAGGGTTTAATGTAAATAGGAGATCTCTTCTAAATTGATAAGTTGTATTTGGTATTTAATTTCAACAATGTGACTGTTGGAGTAGCATGCTTAATTTTTCAGATTTCACCCACATGAAAAGATCCGTATTTACTTTGGATGAGGATAGGACTTAAAATGCTCTCTACAAATTGGTGAAAATTATCTCAAGGAGAAATTTCAAATGAGTAAATATTCAAGCTTCTGTCCATAGGCAGCAATGATTAGCTGGACAAATAAGGACAGTAGACTGTAAGGCAGGATGTTCCCTGAAAAGAAATTAAAGGCAGTGGTAGAGTGCTGGCTCGTCACTGTCTGGTGCTCAGCTGTGGCAAAATAATATGCTTCCTACTCTGATATAGGGGGGAAAAGTACAGCCTGCAGGTTGTTTTTTTACAATTCCCGCTGTATTTGCATAGTCACGGTTGGAGCACTGAGCTCAGATGTGATCCTTTCTATGCAAGGGCAGCTGAGAAAAAACAAGGCTGAGAGACTGAAGATGTGGTATAGAGGTCTCAGACATTACTGTCAAGAAGAGATGCAATAAGAGGAATGGCTTGTAGACTAAAGAGAATTGAGAAGGTGTCATATGTCTGTTCTCGTTTAGACGGAGTCTTTGCATATTTAATCAGTTTCCAGAGTCTGTAGATAGTACAAATAAGCTTAAATGGCAAGGGAGTTCAAATTATATAGTGGGCAAGGGAGGGATTTTAAGAATAGTCAAGCATGGGAACACATTGCTTGTAGGCTAGAAAATCTCCATGAGTAGGATTTGTTTATATAAATATAGGATTTATAATATATACATTAACCTTAATCGTGGAGATTCTCCAGCCTACAAGCAGTTCACCTGTGGATGCTGTCGATCCTGCTTTGGCATGGGAGTGGGGAGGGGCAGCAGCTTGAAGACACCTTGATGAGGGAGACCAGGATGTTTTAAGATGGAGAGAGAGGCTAAATTGGATTAGTAAAACACTGCCTTCTGAATTGAGATTTGAAAGTAGCTGATGGGTGATCATATGCTTTTCTCAAGTTAGTCCTCTGTTTCTCTTTTTTTCTGAACTGATTCATGTTTGTTGCATTCTGCATGTGAGATTACTTACCTAGAACTATAGTGTGTAGTACTGGAAGAATTGTGTTCTCTACTCTGTTGGTCTGCCTCTGCAGAAATCTAAATAACAAACATTAAAGTTTTTATTGGTGACTCTCATAAAAGCTTAAATTCCCTGGGTCATACCTGGCATACCAAGGATACTTGTGTAGTACTGAGTTATTTACAATGGTCTAGTAAGAATTGTCTCTATCACTTTGCCTTCTATAGATTGAGCTTTTGTTAAACACAGCCCAACAAAACTGACTCTAATGTCCATACCTCTCTTATGTGGCTTTTTCAAGGCTTTGGAGGTTCTTTTATTGCACCTTCTCCATCACCATCCCCAGTCACTCCAGCTCAAACCAGCTTACTACAGCCTAACTTTGATGCAGCCTTTGGGACAACAGCTCCAACGACTGGCAGTTCGTTTGATGCATCAGGTGAGCCACAGGGTTTCTTCCTGTGAATTTTCTAATGTGTTTTATGTGTTAGATGAGTTAATGACACCATACTCTGATTACAAGCAGTATCGGTGATTTCCCTGTTCCTTCTCTACTGGAAGAACTCAGGATGGTATTTAGGCTGTTGTGTGCCCAAGAGCTCTCTGTACCTATTTCTTATTCTACCATGTCAATAAAAAACAAACTAGCGTGAACATCATCCTTGCATGTGCTTGATTGCATGAATTGGGAATTACTCGAGGAAAACACTGTTCCGTAAATCAAGTATATAGGCAAGTTGTCTTGCTGCTGTTGAAGCTGTTCTTGAGCTTGCATGGCACCTGAAGGTACACAAAATGGAGACTGAGGTTGTGTTCTTTGCCTGACTATAAGCTTAAACTTTCATCACTGCTATCATTTTGTTTGTATCTCTTCCATTCTATATTTTCCATGCTGGGTCCTTGCTACAAACTTAAAATTGGTGAGTTCTGCAACTGTGCAAAAAAAAAAGGTTGAAGTAGTACAGCTGCTTGGTTATTTGGTTGCTTGCCACAGCACATGCTACCCCTTCCTGTCAACTTAACGTTAGCATGTACCTCAAATACAGATCAGAAGATAGAATGCTGGCATGAGGTGTACTAGGCAGTTTGACTTCAAGGGATCTAAAAAATGAACTTCTGAGTTAGAGACTGGACTAACGAGGCTAGCTCTGTCAGTGTGGATGGTTCTGGTTCCTTCTGATCTCATAAGATGTTAGTAGGTTTTCCCGACTCCCTGCTGCTTGCAAGTGAATAGTAACATCTTGAGACTTTCAATCCTATTGCCGTAAGATGTCAAGGTATAAGACTGCCTTTGCCACAGTAATTCTGACTGGTCTTTGCTGTAAGATGTTCATTTTAAAAGCCTTTAAATGAATATCTCCTGACAAATGTGTGTGCATCTGACGTCTCTTTAAGGATGGCTGTAAGAAAAATAGTGTCATGTGGAAGTGGTGCTGTATCTATGTAGATTCAACTCTCCAATTAAAGTCCTTTTAGGCATGTCCTGTCATATTAGTTCTCATTGATACAGCTCTTTCAGGATTACTGGACGTTCAGTGTCTAGTAAAATGAAATGCATGCCCTTGTTGGCATTGCTTTTAATGTCAAACTGTGTTTTGGTAAGACTTGTGATGTGGTTGTCTGTGCTATATTTGTTGGAGCAACAGTGAAGTTGCAGGTAGCGTATTTCTTACCACGGCATCTGTTTCTAACCCACTTCCCTTTCACTTCCAGTGTTTGATGGCCTAGGTGATCTTCTTATGCCAACTATGGTTCCCTCTGGTCAGTCTATAGCACCTTCAGCCACAGCAACAGTCACTGCTTCAGCCACAAGCAAAGGCCTCGGAAGTGATCTTGATTCATCTCTTGCAAACTTAGTAGGCAGTAAGTGACAAATTTCGGTGACAAAAAGTGGTGTGGCATACAATTATGTTACTCTTCTGTGGCGCCAAATACCTGTCTATTTTAGCTTGCTTATTTCAATGTCCTCCTGTTTGCCTGGGCAGATGGGGGAAATTATGGGCAGGTATAAGGCCTGATTCAGATAGCTGGTCATCTGGGGTCATAACTCGTCCCTCTTTGTGCCCAGGATCTGAGTCAAATAATGGGATCTGTTTGGTAGGTATTATTTGTAACATGTGAATGTCCCAGGTACACTCAGAGGCACATCAGGCTCTTTATGGATGTGTTCCCCTGTGTAATAACAGATGGAATGGTGAAAATTGTCCAAAGTATCTGATAGCACTGTGGAATTTAAGCAGAAAAGCTGGTGGACACAAATAGCTGACTTTTTGCTTAATGAGAGGAGGAGTAGCAGTGGGGTGAGGTGTGCACAACAGCCAAGAACAGACCTTCTCTCAGACAATGAACTTTCCAAAACATGTTCTTGAAATGCTAAACTAAAAAATGTTCTCTTTCCTGTAGTAGGAAAAAGGCTAGAGCCTTTATAACTAGAGATCAGTAGCTGCAGCCCCCCCCAAAAAACTAAGAGGCCCACCTAGGCCAAGGTGTAATACTACTGAAGTTGTACCTTGGAGGACTGTATAAATGGAATACTCTGTTAGTATATGTAAACACACCACAGCAAAGACATAACTGATCTTATGATGCATACTCTTCTGTTAGGTGTGTGGGGAAACTACCATGCTTAGAAGTCAGCAGGACTCTTAATCAATTGAAACCTCTTCTGCAAGTCATTTGGTATATACAGGTTTGGGGGAGAAAATCAAACTTAGCAATTTGTGACTTACAGCACTTGTACTGGTCATGTGAGAAGAGTATTCTTTAAAACTATGCTTAAAACTTCTTCCAAAGAGTAATTAAGGAAACTGTTTGGAGTTCCCGTGTATGATAGAGCAGATAAAACAGTGCAAGACTTCCAGGTGACATTCAGATTTATGTGTATAAAAATAGCTTTTTATTTCAGTATGTATAATGAGGAACAGAAACTAGTGTTGTCATTCATGGTAAATAGTTTTAGTGCTCTTAAATAACTTAGCGTTTTGTAGACCTAAATATATTGTTACTTTGGATTGCTTATGGAGCAAAAATGGCTTTCTCGAATATAAGACATTCGCAGTGTTTCTCAAAAGTTTGTCCTCAAGAAAGGTGTAGATATGGCCAATCCTCTGATGCTGTATAAATGAAGACATCCAAAACTTTATTACCCTGTAAGTCCATGTGCAATGAAATGTAAGCTGTTATTTTGACACGCTTTAATTAAACATGACTTTTTTTTCTTATTACAATTTTCAGATCTTGGAATTTCTGGTACAACTTCAAAAAAGTAAGTTCAACTTTGTTTAAAAAAAGTTTTCAAATCTGTTGTATAGTCTTACATCTATTTCAGTGTTTATTAAGAATCAATGAATTGGTCATGTGCCCCCTACCCCCCAAAAATAAGTTCAGACAAATTCTGGAAAAAATACTCTGTTCACTGAATAATTAAGGTTAATTGTTCCTGCTTTTAAACTTGCTGGCTTTAATCTGAGTCTTTGAAAAAAAAAATTCTGTAAATCACTGTCTTCATATCGGATAGCTGATTTCCGAACAACTTAAAATGAACAAATAGTCCAGATAATAAATTGTATAGCTGTCCTCAGTAATCTAGGCTAATATGTAATAGTTTTGTTATCTTTTTACAGACGCTGGATGTGCTTATCGTATAGGCATTGGAATACTTGTAAAATAGAAAAGAAGTTCATTCCATGCAGTGAAAAGCTTCTTTTTGAAAGAAGAAATATTTACAGCGTTGCATTTATTTTTGAATGTATCTTCTTAATCTAACTGATTGCTTACTTCTGTACTTCTGTGCTGAGTCTTCCTCTGTATGCAAGACCAGTTTATGATGTGTGTACTTCAAAATGTGTTGTGCCTCTGTGGAGACGATAGGAGCGATATGTATAAACATCATGAGGTTTATCCCCAAAACTTAGCTTCCTTCAATCTACTTCATTCAAATGGTGTAGCTTATTCTGGATAGAGCAGCCTCTAACAACCTGGTTTTGCAACAGCCCTTTTATTCTATGAATGATTTGTTTCTCTTGTATCTATCAACTTTTTTCAGAACTGAATGCTTTCCTCCTTCAGCTGTCTGAGCAAGATTTCCAGCAATGAAATGACCTTTCAAAGACTTCTAGCAGGCAGCTCTACTGCCTGGCCCCAGTAGAATAGGCAGTAGCAGTCCCTCTTCCTACTTTGCAAGGGTATATGCAATCATATGTTACCTTTGGTCAATACTAAGTAAAACTTCTCCTTAATTCTCACCACAAAGGCCATAACCATGTAACTGACATCTGTATAGAGTGTAGTGGTGTCTACCACTAACAACCCTTGAAACTGAGTGGCACTAGAAGTGTATCTTTCTGTTAACTTAAACTGCATACAATATAAACTAATGTAGCTGCAAGCTTAACGTTAATGTATACTGCAATTGGTTTTCATTTTCACTGTATGTAAATAATAGCTCTGTCTTTCTCCTTCTCTATTAGGGGAGACCTTCAGTGGAATGCTGGAGAGAAAAAGTTAACAGGAGGAGCCAACTGGCAGCCAAAAGTAGCACCTGCAACGTGGTCAACTGGTGGTGTCCCAAGTGGTCCATTGGTAGGTGGTTAATCCATCGATACCACTGGTATTGAAACCTCAATATCTTATGAGACTATGCAAGTATACGTGTAGGCACAGCTCCTGTCTACTTCAGCTAAAGAGTTTCTGCTTCTGTATAAATGATATGATTGTTTCAAGTCACATTTTTAAGACCAGATTTACAGCTGGCATAAATAAATCATTGAGTTCAGGTCCGTGAAAATACACTAGCGTATCAAGATGTTACTCTACGTGTACACTTAATACGTGTGGCTAGCTGTATAGGTCTAGCACCAGGTCTGGGTCGATTGCCCAAAAGACAACGGTATTGATCCAAAGCTGAAGTACTGGAAGGAGAGAAAATATATAGGTTTTTCTCAAGCTTTCCTGAATGAAGTAGATCAAAAGACTACACAGTATTCAGACTGATCAGGTGATTGATGTTAGGTTAGAAGTGGATAGCTTGTTTAGCAGAGTAAAGCAGTCTATTGGAAGAGTTAGGATTGCCCTGTAAAATGTATCAGAAGGCACTAACTTTGAGAGAAGAGGGTTGAACTGAGCTAAAAATCTAAATTTGGCACAAGAGCAACTTGATCATGAGTAAGCTACAAGAGTAATCTGAAGAGGGGTCATACCTCATCTCATCAAAGTCACACAGGGCATAAAACAGCCGCTGTTTGAAAAAATTTGGGTTGGGAACGGAACGAAAGGAAAGGACTGTCAAGGGGGAGCACGACCAGTTCAGTTCCCTGCTGCCACAGCCAGATGTTAATGTGACTCTAAGCATGTTCCAGCTTGTTCCTTAACCTTATGGAAGATACAAGAATTCCCTGAACTTGGTATTTCATTGAATGTATTAGTTGTAACGTCAACTTTTCTTCTTAATAGAAAGGCTGGGCAATACTGTACAGTGTAAGTGAAATTTTTTTGATCTTATTGTACTTACTAAACATGAAGATACTAACAGCACCTCACCTGCACTACAGTTATTACTGATGGCTTAAAACTAGCTAGAAGCTACCTAACATGGCTCTTCTTGGACTATCTGTCCAGCAGACAATTCTCAGGCAATGTGTTGAATATGGTAGTAGTGATTAACCATTTCTGTGCTGTAAGCTTGAAAATAATGGCTTCAAACTGTCTTTGCTTTACTTGGATGTGAACTATCTGATGACTTGTACTACTGAAATCTCTAACTTCTGTAACATCAGCCTGATCTTGTAGTGGTTTTATCATCTTATAAGTAACTAGCCTAACTAGCCTTTCTAGAAAGCTGGGTCGCTTTGATAGCATTTTGTGAAACATGGGTGCTATACGTATTTCTTTGAAATCATGCACTTAGGTATTGTTTGAAACCAAAGAAAACCAGATCTGCAGGAAAAATAAATGTGGAGACTAAAATGAAACTTTCCTTCATGTCACTGTTGAACCACTTAAGTTTTGGTCACTTCTTCCCGTCCTTGTGACCTTTCACCTTCTGGATTAAAATCAGCAGAATTTCATAAAAGCCCATTCCCTTGAGTGACCCTAGTGCTTTGAGGCAAAAGCAGATTCAGTTTGTGTGGCCATTTTCTTGACATCTGCCTAACTGGATTTTGAGCTACAGTGTGTTCCTGTGTCTGCAGTCAGATCACTACATCTGATGTCATTAATCTGTGTTTTTCTACGCCTTACTTTCCACACCTGAGTGTCCAGATATTGGTTTTAGTTTGGGGACAGCTGTGCTGCTAGCGCAGTACAGACTTTAATTGAAATGCTCCCCAGAAAACTTTCAGACTGGCAAAGAGGTTCATAATTATTAGCCAGAAACTGTAGGGTGTTTGCTTGTTAATGAATCTGGAACAGGTTATCTTGACTTGTGTCCAGTTTCTTCAGAAACTGGCATATTTTAGTCTGGAAGCAAGGATCAACGAAGGGCACTAAATGCAGCATTCACAGAAGTGGACTGTGCAGTGAGTAATTCCAACATATCTCCAGAGACGCACTGTCCTTTGAACTGAAAGTGTGCTAGCTGCTCTCCAAGTGCAGTGGGATATAACTGACTCAAGGTAGGCGGTAAGGATGTGGACGCTCAGGAGTGACCCTACAGCTTCTGTAATAGCTTGAGAAATTGTGCCAATATACTTAGGCCATATGATAGCAGTAATGAGATTCCTAAAAATCCTGCTACCACTTTTGAATCCTTTCCTTGAATGCTTCCTGCTTCTCTTCAGAGTTAATAATTTGGATTGTATGTACTTCTCTGAAAAGAACAGACTTGGATGCTTTCAAGGCCATAAGGAGACTCTGTGCATGGGAAGTTACAGACAAGGGAACCAGAAGGGGTGATGTATAGGTTCTGCTAGATAAGTGGGGTGGCCTTGTTCAAAGATGCTGTTGTGCTGTATATCCAGTCAGACTACTAAACTAACAGTTCTCGCTTCCTAAATCCTAGTGAAAAATCACCTTTTTTCTCTTGTTACTTGAATGACAAGCACACAAGTTAAGCGTATGAATGAAAAGCATAATAAGATAAACTGAAATGTCCTTAGTAAAGTATATAATGGTTGTGATTGTGGCTTAAGTGTGTGAACTTAAATGAATCTCACTGCATAAAAACACTATATTTTTTTTATTGGAAACTAATTATAGCAGTTTTTTCCCTTTACAATCTGCTTAAGCTTTTACTAAAATACAGTGCTACAAGTGCAATAATGTGTTGGCTATTGATTATGAAATTGGGATGCTTTCTTACACTATGGGGGGAAGTATATATTTCCTTGGGCCTATTTTGAGTTGTATTCAGTAAATGGACTCCATTCATGAAGAGAATGCAGTCTGTCACCCTTGCTTTCTTACGAAAAAACAAGCTAAGCATCAGTGTAAGGACTCATTCAACTCTCTCATTCTTTGAAGCATTGTGGTTTTGAGGTTAGGTATTATCTGCTATGTAAGTCCTACTTTCCAGAACAACTTTGAGAATGCTGGAGACTCCATGCGGTTTCCAGATAGTTGATGTTAGAGATTCTTGCATGTCTTAATTTTTTAAAAAAATTTTTTAGACGGGAGCCGTGCCTCCAGCAAGCGCTGTTCCGGCCACAGGAGGGACTCCACCTGTCCCACAGCCAGGAGCAGCATTTGGGATGGTGAGTCTCTTGTTATGCTGCTCTCCTCTCTTCACCCAGAACCCTACTCACACTGCATTCACTTACAGCCCCCAGCAGGCACAGGTGTACCCATGATGCCCCAGCAGCCAGTTATGTATGGGCAGCCTATGATGAGGCCACCATTTGGAGCTGCCACTGGCCCTGGTGTACAGGTAAGCATTACTGCTAGATGAATGTTTAATTGCTCTCCATTTCTTTAGAAAGTAGCTTGTGTGTATGCATTATCTCAGTTCAATTCTAGCTGTAGGACTATAAAAGAGACTTCTTACAGTATCAGCTGCCTGATCTGACTTAGAATCATAGTCATTTAGGTTGCAAAAGACCCTTAAGATCAAGTCCAACCGCTAACCTAGCACTGCCAAGTCTACCACTAAACCATGTCCCTAAGTACCACATCTACATGTCCTTTAAATACTTCTAGGGGTGGTGACTCAACCACTTTCCTGGG